GGGGCGGGTAAAGGGGGCTCGGGAGGGAGAAAGGCCCCGGGTCGTTCTTGCTTCGTGGAGGGTTTGTTGTGGGTTGCTGGGTTTTTTTTTTTTTCCTTCTTCTTTGAAAAAGGGGGGGAGGGGTGGAAGAAAGAGAGTTAAAAGGGAAGTTAACAGGTAAGTAAATGAACCTCCTCCTAATCCAGCTCCCAAAGATCTCAGTCATACCGCAGCCGAGGTCAAGAAAAGTTCACCGCGATGGGCTACCATTGACTTTCTGGACTGGAAACATTTTCGAAAAATAATAGACTGCCGAAGAGCGAAGTACGCTGTCGGCAGGCGGGGGGACCAGGGTGAGGAGCTAAATGAACCCAGCGATCTGCAGAAGCTAAAATGTGCATGATCTCACAGGGGCAGCCGAGATGGGACCTCGAAAGTCCTGCAGCTGCGGGAAGTCGGAGGCGAATCAAAGTGGGCTGAGAGGAATAAAAAGCGACTCAAGTAGTAAGAACCAACCGCAAAGGCAAAGGAAAGTGTGGTAAAGAGCGATTTTGGGGGTAGGAGTTTGAACTGTGCCATAATCCCGATTATAAAAAGGAAAAGGTACTATTTACACCCCACACTTCGCCTTGCGAGCAAAACAAAAAGAAAAATTCCCGTGGATTTTACTACGGGGTCATGGTGATGTAATCCCGCAGCCACGTTTTAACGGGCAGATGGCTTTCTTCATTAAATATGACATATTTCCTAGAACGATAGTTCAAGATAAAATGCCAGTTCAAATATGCAAAATTTTTCATCCTGTTCCACGATACCCTTAGCCCGTCCACGAGGAGTTTTCCCTGCAAATGTAGCCTATGTGTTTCCGAACACAATGGCATCATCCGAAAATACTTAAACTCAGCGCACAAATAAACAAACACTGAATAAAGTTACAAACAAGATTAAGGTTCAAGTTATTTGTCCCCGTAGCAAGGCGTCAATTGTTCTAACAGATGTAGGGACACTAAGAGGATTTAAACCACGCGAATTTAATAAACCAGGTTAGCAATAGGTGCTTTCTACAAATGCTAGGAACCGTAAAGTAAATCTAGCCTAAATTACCCGTCAGACCGGAGCATCGCTTACAAGGAGTGCAGAAAATTTCCGAAGGGGTCCAGTAGGATTTCGTGCAAGCATGGTGGCTTGTTTCCCCCAAAAAACTTTCTATTTGCATTAAATCTTGCGCTAGGCGCACAGGCGCGTACAAAACACTGGTTTAAGATCCCCGGTGGGATATATTCTTGAAATCTGAAATATTACCTGTTGTGCCATCCGCTTTTGCAAGGCTGGGGAAAAAGAGAGCGAGAGAGGGAGCGAGCGAGCGAGAGAGGCATGTCTCAAAGCCAGCAAAGGACTAAGATGCCACACTTCGGAAAGGCTGATTGAAAACAGACTCTTCTTAAGTTTTAAAGGATTTTCTCTCTCACTCCCTCCAAGGGCTAAGAAGCCGATTTGGGAGTTTGAAGGGAATAGGTTTCAGCGTCCATATTTGTTCTGGTGCACTTGTAAAATGCGATTTGAAGAGGATCTTTAGCCCTCTGATTGTCTTTGTATTGTTTTTCTTGAAACGGATCTTTTGCCCTTAATGAATCCCCACACAGCTGGACAGCTCCTGCTCGGACACTGAGAGCGCTAACCCCAAACTGACCCCAATTTGACACCACAAGATGAAATTTTACCGCCTGTTAAAACCATTTCCAGCCTCGGCAAAAGGAGCTGGCTGTTGACTGAGATGCACTTCCATACCGGACACCTCATTTCTCTTTGGACTTTTGAGCCGAAGCCAATAAAAAAAAAAAAAAAAAAAAAAAAAAGGGGCAAAAAAAAAAAAGCCAAAGAAGAAAAGCCCAAACACACACACACACACCCCACCGACTCATCTCTCACACTTTTCCTGGAAACAGCCTTCGCTGTGAAAGTGATGCACGAGAAATGGAAATTAGCCAATTTAATTTTCCCAAATTACTGTGTTTTAAAAGAAATATGTCACCAGGCTGGGGGGGGGGGGGGGGAAGGAAGTAAATAAAAAAATGACCTAAGAATGTGGAAGCCCCCACCCCCTGCACGCACGTATCCCATTTTCCTCCAAGTTCCCAGCAGCATCTTTGTTAATAGCTGAGTACTTTCACTTAAGGGCGCTAAATTGAGATTCCTTTTTAATGGCTAAACTGTAGCGCTTTATAAACCATGTTCTCTGTGTGCTTTAATCCACTGGGATAGTGAAGAGGAAAAAGGCTTCAACTCTTTTCACGGGGAAAAAAAGACACAGGAGGAACATGAAAGCCCTTCATTTACCATATGAAATTTCACTTTCTATCAAGTTAAAATAATTTTTAAAAGTTGGTCCCTGTCCCAGATTACACACATGCACAGCAGGGCGAGCCAACACAGGGGGTTAATTAGTTTAGGAGGGGAAAAAGAAAAAAAAAAGGGGGGGGGGAACAAGTGAAAGGAGCAGCATTGAACACTGCAAAAATCTTTGGCTGTTTTTTTGCAGCTTTGATTTTAGATTGCTTTCTAACAATTTCTTAGTCAAGAGTACCGAGATCTACAGGGACTTCTGTGGAAAACAGAATTATGAAAAAAAAATCAGGTCTAAAATTATATCCCAAGCAATGAAGCGCTTTCTTCTATGGGAGCCAAGTCATCTAAAAACTTCTTTTTGAGAAGAAAACTGATGAACTTCTCCCACAGCCTGAGGTCTGAACAAATACATGGAGCCTTCAATGGAGCTAGGTTACTTTTGCACGGCCACATTACAAGTAAAGACCTCTTCTTTGGTGATACCGAAACTATTTGAAATGAGACACGCTTGTATATCTCAAGAAGCAAGGCTCCGGGCTTGCACTGCCTCGGTTAAAAAACAAGTCTGGAAGCTACAAATATTTAAACCACGTCCTCTAAGCTGGCTGTATGGGCTGTATCACAATCAAATGAGTCCACGCAAGTTTAGAAATCTGGCATCTTTGGGGCGCGGGGGGGGGACGACGACGACACACACCAAATCGCATTCACCGATGACTAGATCTTTTTAAAAAATCTGTTAGAAAACTACAGCTGTAAAAGTAGGAAAGGATTTGCATAACCTACTGCTCTGTAGGTCTCCGCGCACCCAAAGGATTAGCCAAGCATTCATTACCATGAATATCTTGAATTACGTTACCGATTTATACGACAGAGTATAAAATACTGCACAAGAAGACTGGCTTTTTCCCTGCGAAATGAATCGACTTAACCACTGCTTGAAAGAGATCTACATACTAAGGGCTTTTTTACTCACCTCTCTTTACAGTCCCGTGAAAGTCAGTCACAGCAATTCGGTTGCTCTTAGGACTAGCTTTAATCTTGGAGGAGATCCTCTAGGAAAAAAAAACCCGGGTCTGCTCTCCGGCTTCTGGCGGGTTTTAAGCAGGGTGCAACTCTGGCTAAAAGTAGGAGAGGGACTTTTCTCCATATTCCCCCCATACTTGTAAATACAGCCCTGCTCTGCAGGGCTCGGCGCTATCGGAACACGCAGGAATGCCCACTGGCGTTTGTCAGCCCTCCACACTATCTTTCTTTATATGTGAGGGCTGATTTCCCGCAGACATCATTGTTATGATGGCTCATTTAATCAAACTGTTTAATTGCTCCGGTAATCACTATCATCATCACAGGTACTCAATCATTCATCATTTTGGAGGGGTTTATTGACCTCTGGAGCTCATTCCCTACGCCTATTAAAATCAGGCCAAATATCTATAACTACCCCTTGAGTCATTTTCTTAAAGTTTAAAAAAAAGAAAAATCTTAAAATCATCGTCATCATCACGACAAGCAAAACAAACCAAACCAAAACCTAACCGAATAAATAATATTTTTCTGCCGTGTATTTTTAAAAGCCATCTATGTATGAGGCCACATTCACAACCGGGTACATAATCATTGATAAATCCCACTATTAACGGGATAGTCTGTTTTAGATTTTATGTGCAGGGGACCGTGAACGAGGGTGGGGGGTTGGGGAGGACAAAACTGCAGCAATCGATAGTTTGACCATCGCTCCTCCCCTAAACTTCAAGCATCCCCCATGATTGATGATCCCGGGTAGCTTTGGTAATTGACTGCTCTGAGGTAAGGCACGGTTTAGCTCCAGCAAAGCGATTGGGCGAAAGAAACACACCAAAATTAACGTGTGCGTGTGCGCGCGCGCGCGTGTGCCCGTGTGTATGTGTGCGTGTGAGTGCGTGTGTGAGAGAGAGAGAGAGAGAGAGAGAGTGCGTGCGTTGTGTGAGAGGCGAGTGCGTGCGTGTTTGGAAAAGTTCATTCGGTGCTCAAGGGTGGGGGGTGCATCATCTCACTTAATTTGCTAAATAACCCCACTGTAATTAGCACTACCATTAGAAGGCATTACCGAGCTAATACTTCAGCATACATTCCACAAGCGCAACGTCGATATACGGCAAAGTCCAGCAACATACACACGTAAATACAGCGCTCACCGCCGGATCCGCTCGAAATGAACATGCAAACAAAAAATCTACATAACATCTGGATCTCTCCTACAAAAGGCTGAGCATGACTTTGTTTTTACGCCCTTTTCAAAGCCTGGCAGCCTAATCACGAAACTAAAAGGGATTTCCCCCGCTTCCCCCCCGCCTCTCCCCCCAAGACATCCACAGCGTGCTTGATCGCAGCGATCACTTAATGAAGAGCGGTGCCAAACACGGTTTGAATGAGGCGTTCTCTTCATGCCCTGGAAAATTAATTTTTAGAAAAGCACAATGAATTGTCAGAGGAAAGAAACCACACTTGCAACGTAACATGCTGGCGGAGGCGCGAGTACTCGGCCGGAGCAGGCTCGCTTCCCGGGGAAGATCAACTTTGCGCGGCCCCCCTGCACACTGTAGCTCTCCGTGCCCCCGGACTCGCACACCGTTCGCGGCAACAGCGATAGCCGGCGATTTAAATAAATAATTCAGCGCATAAATCAGACGCTAACATCGCGGTTAATCGGAAGGTATTTTGTTGCTAAAATAACCTAGCGCAAACCAACCCGGGGCTGGGCTTCTATCGCACTTTTCTTCTCGCTCTCTGCAGTTTTCCCCTGCCTCTCCCCCCTCTCGCACACACGCACTCTCCCTGTCTTTCCTCCCCTCCCTCCCCTGCCTCCCTCCCTCCCTCCCTCCCCTGCCTGCCTCCCTCCCTCCCTCCCTCTCTC